TTGTGGTTTTCCTAATATGCATGGGATTTGCTGGCTTTCAATGGAGAGCAAACGTTTCAGTTATATAGTCGATTCACACATGTAATCTGGATATTTTCAGGATGCTGCAAACTCACCAGTGATGCTGAACGTCTGTCCTAATGTTTGTCGTCATCGCAACCAATTTTTATGCCGTAGTTAATGAACAATGAAGCCAGGCAGATAGAATAAAAGAATATAATTCAGTCTGCGTTAGGTGAGGGTTTTCTTTTCGTTTCGTTTCTTTTCTGTAAAACACCATCCACCCTTTGACACGGTTGAATTGCTACAGTAGCTGGTGTCTCTACTGCAAGACCTCAACAGCTGACGGAACAAGGTGACCTTAACTTACAGGGAGCGCAGTTAATTGCCTTCCATACTCTCGTGCTCGAGCTCCCCGAATAGACGCAGCGCTCAAGAGTTCAATCCAATCCTCGTGCGGCGTTCGAGGTCAGGTCCTTCACGAGGCGAGGCTCGTTAGCCCAGCAGATAGCGCTGTGGTGCTGCTGCGTGCTTGTGTACATTTGCCTGCTCCGGGGTCAAGCTCCTGTAAACAAGACACTCCCATCTGCGGCGATAGATGAGGCCTGACGGTGTGTGAAAGATTACCTCGATCAGTCACAAGCTCACAAACACTTAGCGGAGGCCATGTGCTGTTATGGACAGTGTGTTGACCGGTTTACTGATCTCACAGTTTATAATTCAAACACTAAGCTGGTACTTCTGTGCAGCACAACAGTTTGGCCACAAATCCTACCGTCACAAAGCTTATAAAGGCAAGTTTGTTGTTTCAGAGAGGCGTTAATTCAACGATATGGTTATTACTCACATCATAGTTGGTGTTTTTCTAATATTCTTCCCCCTTATTTTTCTAAAAGGGCAGGAAAAACATTAGACCTCTCAATATAATGCAGTCCAACTTAAATGAATACCTCTTTATCAAAAATGAACATAATTGTCTTGTAAAGGTAGAACAGGTTTGGACAGTTGGTCAGACAAAATATACAAGTTGAAGACGAAATGATTAATTCATTGATAAGAATTCATCTTAAAAATAGCGCTGAATGGACATTCACTGCGCATTCAATGGGCATTTATGTAGCAGTTATACCAAAGCATTTTACATTCACACACACACACAGAATTGGCACTTTTTACATGTGGGATCAAACCTCCAGCTCTACGATCAATTGACCCCCCGATTGATTTTCTGAGCCACAGCCTGAGAAGCCTGTCATCAGATAATTGACGGTTCAGTCAATAATGGAAACAATCGTAAGTTGCAGCCTAACACCCGAGTGTATACGTGTGTGGGCAAAGTGTATTAGCTTAGTGTGTCCCTTCAGTCTTCCTCCCGCAGATTAAACCAGACTGTTTAGCCTCGAGCACCACGTCACCCCCTCCCGTTCTCTCCGTGTTCACCCCAGCGTTGACCCGAACTCATCAGCGGCACCGTAAAGGAGAGACCACCATGTGTTCCGGCGTCTGATACACAAACGTAATCACTTGGCAACCTGGTTCCTCTTGCGCCTCTGCACTTCCGTGGATGCTGCATGCATGTATTTCGGTATGGATGTTTGTGCGAGAGTGCGTCTGTGGGTGTTTGCAGCAGCAGATTAGACGCAGCAGAGTGTGTTTCCCCCCCCCCCATGGTCTCTTGTCTCCTAACTTGAGCCGCAGAAGAGGGTCACGTCAGGTTGCCAAAACAATGCCAGGACTGGGAAGAATGTATATATAGTGCTTTATTTCAGTCTAAGCTTCTTACTAAAATATGCATGAAAATGTGTCTGTCAGTGGCGGGTAGATGTGTTCTCCCCCGACAAAATCATTTCCAACAAATCCTGTGTCGTATTGAGCTCTATCCAAATAATAGTTGAAGTTATACCAAGTTTGTGAAGAAGTACAGTACACAACCTCACATGTGCCATGGGACCGTGCTGAATCTGATTTTGAAAATGCCCCTCCCTTTTGTTTCTAAAAAGGGGAAATTACTGTTTTCCTGCATTTAAGATGTTCGCTGCTCACATCCCCGATGTGTGTACTAAACTCCTACTCACTTTGTTTTTTTCGTGCCATACTCCTCAGCTGCAGTAGGCTGTGTAATAAGGTACATTTGTAAAGTGATTTTATGGTGTTACAGATGCTATTTTTTAACATTATTGTTTGTGTAAATATACAGTTTGGGTATGTAGTGTTGGGTGTGTCTGATTTTTGATTTGTGAAGCTCTCTAAAAGCTACAAATTCTTATTTGTTGTGTGTGTTTGTATGCGTGTGGGAGAGAAAATCCTTTTGAAGGACTACATGAAGGCAGCAGGGGGGCTGAGCTTTTGAAAACCTCGATATTGAAGTGACATTTTGCTCTGAATATGACTCCGATATTAAAAGTTCAAACATTGTCCTTTGCCTTTTATTCCTGTGTGTTCTCATTGAGTTATTGGAACCGAAGAAAGCTTTTAAATAAAAGCATGTGTATGTGTGCGTGTGTGTCCCCGCAAGGGCCAGAACCAGAGGATCAGCCCGTGCTCCACCCTGACCAGCAGCACTGCCTCACCCCCTGCAGGCAGCCCCTGCTCCACCCTCCCCCCTGCCATGCCTGGCCAGGCCGGCAACAAGGACTGCGCCTACGGCTCCGTCACCAGTCCCACCTCAACCCTGGAGAGCAGGGACAGCGGGATAATAGGTGAGATCTGCACACGCATTCACAAAGAATGAACACGTTTGAATGTAAACTACAAAGTCCTCAAAGGATAAAACCTGCGTTTTTTTTTTTTGTTTTTTTTTTGTTCATATGGGCATGACCGAATATTAAGAACATGAATTCATCTTGTAGAAAGCTTTCATATTTTAGATTTAGGTAGCAGATAAAGTGAAGCTAGAAAGCAAATGTCTATAAAACACGAGATTTAACAAAGAAAGAGCTAGAGAAAGAACAGCAGTAGTCAACTTTACCTGCTCAGACAGGTAGTTACCAAAGTCTGGGATACCTGACAGTGATGACTTGTGACAGTCAGTGGGAACATGCCTCAGGTTATAGCTTCGCTCCCAAAACACAAAATGACTTTCTCAACTCCAGTGAACCTTAAAATGTCGTAATCTGAATGCTTTTTCCAAACTACAAACCGTAGCTGATTACACCCGAAACCTGAGGTCAGTTTCCAGTCAAACTGTGGTCACGACAAGTCACAACCAGTCCGCACCGCTACAGGAAGATAATCCAGGTGTGCATGTCAAGTTGACAGCAACTGTGGCATTCTTGCATTGTTAGCAATAAAGCAGGTGAGATGAAACGCTCTCTGAAGCACTGATGTCAAAAGAAGTGTTTATTTACAACAACAGAGAAAACCTGCATTTTCATGAGGAACAGGTTAGTTGACTCAGAACAACAGTAGAAAGCAGACGGGTGGGTTTGGAGGGGGGGACAGGGTGAAAATGGCCTTAACAGTACGACACGCATATCTCACTGTCGTAGCTGTAAATGCAACATATCGGCACTGACGACGACGTTGTTCTGTTGCAGCCACGCTGACCAGCTACTCGGAGAACATGGAGCGAGGCGGCAAATACGGCGAGGGCTCCCGGGGAAACCTGAAGCTGTGGCAGTCCCAGAAATCAGGCATGGACTCCTTCCTGTACAGGGTGGATGAGAACATGACCGCCTCCACCTACAGCCTCAACAAAATCCCCGAGCGCAACCTGGAGAGCATGTCCTCCCACTCTGCCCACTCCATCCCTCTGTACCTCATGCCCCGCCCTAACTCTGTGGCTGGTGAGTCCCTTCCTCTTTCCCTCCCTTCTCCTATGAAAGTGCAAAAGGAAGCAACAGTTTGTTTGAGGAGCCAGAAATAAGGTTATTTACAAGTGCATGGGCATGCGGTGTACCAATTTTGCAAAGTTTCTCTGTCAAAATTGGATCGCACTGCTGCTTCTGAGTGCCCTTTATATTTATGACTCCTTTAGTGCTCCCTCTTCACTCCTTTCAAGCTTCCTTTCCTCGCCTGTTTCCTCCCGAGATGAGCTGTGATCCTTTCCTTTTGAATTCTTTAACGTCCATTTGTGTGAATCCTGTTACCCCGAATGTAAAAATGAAACAAAAATAGAGGAAATGGATTTATACTTTGCCTCTCTATTAGCAGCTCTATTATGCAACTCATTCAGATTTTAGCCATAATTACCACATAGCTTTGTCAATTATTGGGCCGTCAGATTACATCTGCTCATGTGGTCAGGTATTCTGTGAACAAAACAGATCCCAGAGCTCCAGACCACATTTCTCCTGAAAATCTGGAATAAAGCAGCTTAAGCTTTCAATCTGTTGTCACTTTTACAACATTAAATTATCTAGGGAGGAAACAACTATTGTTCTCAAATTTCAAAAGGGTTTATGTTGAAATTTCGGGAATAGCTTGCAGAGCTGGTATTTTTTTTCTCACATCCCTGCGGTGTGGAATCGAAACCACAGAGCAGAATAATACAGTCTGGGGAGAAAAAGAGAACGGCTTCAGAAGGAGAACATACTGCGGCTGGGAGAATATCACGTAAGAACAACAGGCATTTGTGTTGCTGTCAGAGTTCTCATTGATGTGTGTTTCTCATCGCAGGTAAATACATCGGTTTCATAACTCTGAGGCCGTTCTAATGGGCCTGATTGTGTTATTGTTCTCATCGTGAGAGAGGCTGTTACAGACGAGGAGCTCTGTCATGCACTTCACCCACTCCTGCTGGCAAGAAAGTGTGCTGCGCACGTACTGTGGACATATATTTCACTAAACACTGCGATGTGCCCGTCGCTGCAGCTACGACCCCTCTCTTTATGCCGCTCATGTTCTGCTGTTTGACACTGCTGTCTGGCAGCGCAGCGATTTAGAGATTCACCCTGGATCTCATCTCCCTTCAATACAAAGACCTTCAAAGGAGCTGGAGGCCGCTTTATAGACGTACTATAAGCTGCAGATGATGCAAAAAATAAATAAAGAGAGAGGCAGCGAGAAAAAGAAATAGAAAAACTAAAAAGACATGATGTTTCTGAAGGCATTTGTTATGAACAGGAATCCTGTATTGGGGAGATGGAGACATGTGGAAGAGGAGTGAAAGCAGAGTTTCATAATCTCTCTCCCTCTCTCACTCTCACTCTCTCCTCCACAAAGAGTTATTAGATGATGTAGGGATGGGAGGCGAGCACAGGCTGAGGATTGGCTGGGCTCACACAGCAGTGGAACATCAAAGCCCAAGGCATTAACTGTTTCTATCCCTAGAGTGACAGAGAGAGACTGGCTTTGATGTGTGGGGGGAGAGAGGGAGAGAGATACGGAGCGAGAGCAGAAGGCGAATTGGGAGGAAAACGAGGAGGGAGGTGGCTACTCTATTACCTAATGAAGGCAGTGCGTTGGCAGAGCTCAGGATGGATATGGGGGAAGGAGTAACCAAGACAGAGTAGTCCTGTTTCTCTGGTCCTCGTTTAAGAGAATTTATAAATTAGCCCCCGTCGCTCAGCTTTCACATTAGTGATGTTGTTCCGTACCCGAGTACAGTTGCGTCATCATCTACGTGATATTCGTTTATGTTGTCGCTACAGTTTAAAAAAAAAGCGCGCCAATCGCAAGATCCCAAGTCCCGCTGACAAATGACTTTGCAAACCCCACTCACCAACTGCTACTCACGTTAAATAGCAGTCCGCTTCTGTGTTTTGGTACAGTTGTATTTCCAAACGGGACTTTAGGGTCAAGTGTACCTGGATCCCTTGTAGACTTGTAGTCCGTAATATGAGTCAAGCTGTACCAAAATGCTAGGTCCTACATTTCCCATAATGCAACTATCTTTCGTGAAGCCCTCCTTGGCTGGTTAAAGAGCAAAGAGAGTTTCCCCTTTTTAAGCTCGAACACATCCCCACCACACATTTAAAAAATGCATTTGAACCCTGACACACACACCCGCAACACCTATTTACTGCTGTATTTATTCATCAAGTGTTGGGGGGGTGAATATGAGGTCACCTGGCATTGCAGGGGTGTAGTGTCCCTCCACAGTATTGGTGCGGGGGGGTAGTGTCCCTCCACAGTATTGGTGTGGAAGGACAAATCTCTTGGCAAATAAAACCAAACAAGGTGGGTTTTATTTTAAGTAATTTGGGTGAACTGACCCTTTAAAAATACCTTGTTGGAGAATCTATATAATTGCCTGGAGACTGTGGGATCCCTACTCATGCAAAGACTAAAGAGGTATAAAAGACACTGAGGTTATTCAGTGAACTCACTCTATAGTCTCTAAATTAAGATAACAGCTCACCCGAGAGATAACATTTTTTCAATTTGGTGGGCGGACAAGTGTCATTGATTTCCTTTTCTCCCATTTTTCCCTGATTGTCCCACCTCTGCTTGTATACTCTGCGTAACACCCGGAAATATTGTTGTTTAATAAGTAGCAGGACCTCCATTGTTTATCGCCTCAAGTCATCTCTCGGGGAGATGAGAGGAGAATGGCGAGGCGTTTAGAGCACCAGCAGCCACCTCCTATCTGAGATGACTCGTCGGCTCCCCGGCTGATACTGTGACTGGCTCTGGACGGCAGCCCAGCTCGTCTTTGAGTGTGTGCGTGTGCACGCATGCGTTTATGCTATCGGTCACCCTTTGAAACAGGAAGTGTCTGATGTGGCTGTCATCGCCCAAAGCGGCTGAGCTCAGGGCTGCACAGTTAGACTTTTTCCCACTTTTCTTTTTCTGAGTCTCTCTCTCTTCCATGCTGTTTTTTTTTTTTCTTTCACTATGTTTGCAGTCTTAGCGCATTGGCACAGGACCTGTGAATGCGATCCCGAGCAGCCTGCTGCATTGCAGATAGAGGTGATGAGCACACAGATTTGATTCCTCACATTCAAACACAGTTGAAAGGGAGAAAATCGGGAGCCCTTCCAGCCCTGTGGCCCTGAGTCATTCTCTCTTGGTTTAGCAGCAGATTATTGCCTCCACTGTCTCCGCTTTTAGCCCAGTGCGATGACCGGCTCCCACATTCCCATCAGGGCCAAGCCTCCAGCATTCCCAGCTGCCATTTTGCCTCCATTTTGGGAAACCCATGTGGCTCATTTTTGGGTCCATGGCCTGGGTGACTCGAGCAGTCACAGAGCCATGCACATGCTCAGGATTTCACTGAGCTTTACTCTAGCGGTACAGAAAACCACTCTTTAAATTCAGGGGCAGGACAGGATCAGTGTTGAGGTGCTGGTGAGAGGTGGTGGGCTCAGAGACCTGCCTCATGGAGGGATTACTGGGCCTTACTTTGTGGAGTGACTGGAGGAAGAGACAGACGATGACAGTCACACCGACGCTTTGAATTTGACTTGGGATGTCAGGACTGCAGAGTATTTCAGGTACAGTTACAAAAGATTCCCAGCTCTGATGAGATAAATCCATTTTATTACTGTATAAAGTTCCATCGCTCATGGTAATGTTGTACTCACCAGGTTGATTGCTGATTTCAGATGGGATAAGAAACACAAGCAGTCAGATGATCAGACAAGTTTTAAACAAACTGATTTCTTTTAGAGAGAAAAATACTTCCCTAAAACTGTTCATTTAAAACAACAATCACAGTTTACGGACCAATTTATGAGGGATTATTACCGACGTATCAGGTGCACTCGGTTTAAGTAGTTTAAATCCGGCTAACCTGTTGACTTGTACAGCGCGAACAGTGCAAGCAACAGTGTTTACCTGAGGGGGAACTGGAGGGTGTTGACGTGGGTCGGGACGGCGTTATCAGATGTAACCGCCGTATGAACGCAGTGCAGAGCAGCGGCGACTAGCTCGCCAGTGGGCCACACACTGAGACTCACATGCACTAACAAGCACGTGCAGCCGGACCGAAGCTCGGATTACAACACACACAGAGGGAGAGCCACTTCATTCTCTGCTCAGGTAGAAATTACTCCACTATCTCTCCACATAGACAATAGTTGTTTGCTGCTATATTAATGCTCTCAATATCGAATTTAGCACCTTTAAAGGTTTCCAGAGTCCCAAACAGCTAGTTTGTGGTTAATTTAATATTCTGTCCTCTCTCACCGTCTCTGCAGCTTTTCCATTATCTCTGCATTAGAAGAGTTTATTCTGACCAGATTTCCTGTCAGAGCGCTTGTTAAAGGGACAAACAAACTGCTCTGTCCATGACGGTGTCTTCTCTTAATGGAATGACTTGGCACCTTGGTCCTCGTCTGTCAGCGACTCCTCAACCTTCGTCTCCTGGATTTTATTGTTCTGAGTTTCTTGTCTCAACCTTTTAACAGGGGTTCAGGTGTGACGGAGAATCAAGTCCGCTGCTCACTCACGCTGGCGGCGTCTAATCTTATTTATATATATATTTATATATCTTATTTATATTATATATATATGTGTGTGTATATATATATATATTAAGGGTTTGTTTGTGTGGCTCTTAGTGTTCATACACATGCTGACAATAGTATCTTTTTTCTTTCCCCTCTCTCTGTCACACACTCATACACACACAACAACAGCTACTAGTTCAGCCCACCTGGAGGACCTGGCATACCTAGATGAGCAGAGACACACTCCGTTACGCACGTCGCTGCGCATGCCCAGACAGAGCACCACCTGCGGGCCGGGTCGCTCCGGGCAGGACCTGAGAGGTAAGCAAGAGATAAAGACAGCACACACACACAAACACAGACCCTCCATACCCGTCCCGCCGCTGATGACGACCCAACTTAGGATTCAAAATAAACAAAAATAGGTTTGCTGCGAACAAGAAGCTGTTAGGCGCAAGAGATGCTGCGTTATAAATGCTGTAAGAACTGCAGGATGACCATATGTGCAGGTGACAAGTTCAAAGTCTGAGCATTCAACCCCCATTTACTTTCACTTTCACTTTAAAACAATGCTGTTTTGCATAAAGAGCATTTTGTCAGGTTGTGTCACCATTAAGCTAAGATTTGTCTCAGTGCTTAACATTCACAGTCAGTGTGCCAAGTCTAGTAGTGCACAGCAAGCGCCGCCGTGATCGAGCAAATCTCCTCGGCCTTCTCCCCAAATGGCCAAATGGCCTCATGTCACAACATTATGTGTCCCCTCGCCCTTCTTCCTCAGTCACTTAGCCAGTAATGAGCACCGTAATGGCAGCCCTCTGCCATCCAAGCGATCACAAATATGCGTCCCCGTGTGTTTTAAACACCTGTTAAGACCCCACTTAGCTGAGAGTGTGCGACGTGATTCTCCCCGCCCGAGGCAGCTGGCCGCAGACTGATGCAGAGTGGAGGAGTGTTGGAAGGAGAGAGAAAAGCTAGCTCCTCTTAAAGCCTCACTGTTACTGCCAGAGCCACTTGTTTCAGCCCTCCTCTAAGGGCAACCAAGTGTATTTACAAGCCAACCGACTGCGTCCTAGCATGCGCTCTGCCTCCTCGGATCAGTGTCAGAGAGTGCACTGCTCCTGCAGTTTCACCAGGAGAGACAGAGGACGAGACGGACGGGAGACTCGACGTGAAGGCCGGCGGCGGCTTGAAGAACTCAGGTTCTCATCATATGGGGACAAATTCCTTTATTCCTGAAATTTGAGTGTCTACTGAAACAACGGAAAAACAGTCGTGGATGCAAGGGATGGAGACAGAAAACGAATGCGCACGGGTAAAGCACCCGTGGTTAAAACAACGTTTGAAACATCTGTCCTGTAATTTGAAACAGTCCATAAAATTCAATGAACGGGGAAGCTGTCGGTTTCATAGCCGTATATATGTATCGCATAAATAAATGACTGATGTATAATGTTCAGTTTGACCCGGACAGACGGGATCACCGTGAGCTTTCCTCCAGCAGCACCCTCATTGTCAGCACTGAGGATGAGCCGCACTGACAGAGGGGATCCCACAGCCTTTTTTCTTTCTCAGCAGTTTCACACATCACGATATTACGATAATGCAATATGCTGATCTCCGAGACATTTGTGGTAAATGGACTTACATTCATACAGCGCCTCTCTAGTCTTCCGACCACTCAAAGCGCTTTACACTCCATGTAAACATTCAGACACTGACGGCAGAGGCCGCCATGCAAGCTGCGACCTGCCCATCAGGATCTAAACACACCGACGGCGAAACCTTCGGGTTCAGTATGTTGCCCGGAGACACTTCAACACTCCCGGACGGGAGGAGCCAGGGTTCAAGAGCTGAGCTAATAACAAGTAGATGATCAAACAAGCAAACAAATGAGGAAATAACTGACAGATTGATGAATACCATTTTAAATAGAAATGCACGATAATTGCCAGTTAAGGGATGTAGCTTGTACTACCTGTATTTATAGCATTAGTAGCCTCATGCCTCAGAAAGCACACACGTTTGAACACATGATGCGTCACAGAAAGAGGCTCGTTGGTTGCTTCAGTCACAGCTGGATGTGGAGTTACAGATGAACTGAAGGAGACTGCTGGTTATGTGTCGGTCAGGTGGTAACCAGCTGACAGATGCAGCTCTCTCTCTCTCTCTCCTGTTGTTGTTGGGTTTTTTTTTTTTTTTGTTAGCTTCTTTTGATGCCGAGCGGCCATCGGAGGCCCGAGCTGTGCTGCTGTTTTGAGGAGAGTGAGTCAGACTGTAATGGACCTTCTTGTGCTCCTGCCTGCCTACCTCTAAGATTTACCACCCACCTTATCTATTCACCGCAAACTCACTCGCATAACTGTACACCGCACACACATTATTCTCTCCCTTGTTTATCTTCACACTCTCTCGCTTTGTCCCCCCCTCCCCCCCAAGCCTCGCTCTCTTTCTGCCTCTGCTCGCATACACAAAATAGGCCTCGTGTTAGCTGATAAATTATAGCCGATACTAATATTTTCAACTGCAGAGAGTTTTATTACTCCCATATGTACTCGCTGGCTGTGGATGCAACTTTAATAAAAAGTCTTGGAAATTCAGGTTAGCACTGTATTTGACCAGACATTTAAAGGGTGAAGCTGTTGATATGCTTCTCGACAACAAGTCCCATGAAAGTACCGAAAGTAAAATTGATCCAACGTTGTCTGAGTCCATCCGAAGCTTGATAGAGATGATTCCTCTGTGCTATAGACCTTCACTGTTGTCGATGAACCTTGGCACTGTAGTTTATTTTGAGTCAATCCCACATACAATATCCGGCTGCTGTAAATACTCACTAGAGCTCCAACTGCGTATTAATCCGCAGCTAAGAATCGTCCCCAACAAAATGCTTGAGGAAAGTTTGTGGAAGACTACAGTGCCCAGCTGTTTGAGGGAATGACTAAGCCTCTGTTAAAAATGAAGCGATATATTTGTGACTGTTTTTTAAAAGATGATTCATACATCTTCAGGAGGAACCAATGGGCTCGGAGCTGACAGCCACAGACGGGATAGCAAAGTCAGAAAGCATCGACTAACATATTGTTGGTTTCGGTCTTTTCATGGGAAAAATACAGAATAATGGGCATCAGTTGCAGATCCCCATTAGTTTAAAATAAGTTACTGTTTATAGTTCACATTTATTTACAGCAAACACAGACTAAAGGATGCCCCTATTGCTGACTTAGCCAAATGAGTCGGATAACTAGCCCAGATTTGATGACAGTGCATGTTTGAGTTTCAGATGATAATCTAGCCTCTCTCTGCTGTTTTTCTTTTTGTCGGACACCACCGCCTTAATCTGTTGTCTGCAATCTGATAAAAACAATCTTTAATTCTAGATGCAATATGTATTAAGTTATTGTAAAGGGCTTTACAACTTATGTAACATACTGACATACTTTTTCCTTGTTGCTTGGCTCCAAGACGTAAAGTTAAGTCAGTGAATAGTGTCTCAGCAAGGAAACGGTGTGTGTTAAATGCCTCCATAAGGAAGATTAGAACACATTTCCTGAAGAAACACATTATCCATAAGCTCATCTAGGTTTAGTATGCTGCTCCGACTGTTCAAATTACATAAGATTTCTTTTTTTTTTAACAGAAATTATGTAAGAACCTGTCGGTGAATGCATTAGCTGTAGCTCCACATCCAGGATGTTACAGGAAATGACTGGAATTTTAACTGTATGTCTGAAAAAGCAGACATCAAACTCACACACTGACTCCCACATCCGCCATAAGAAAAGTCACCTGACCTGAGATAACCCTTCACAACGAGCAGGTCGTCTCAACTGCTCGTCTTCCTCTTCCTCCTCCTCCTCCCCATCATCTCCTCTCTCCCTCCACCTCGGTGCCAACTCTCCTCTCCTCCTCCTCCTCCTCCTCCTCCTCCTCCTCCACCTCTCCCTCCTTCTCCAGGCTGCTCAGCCACCGTGAGTCATCCTCACCTGGTGAATAATTAAAACGTCTGAGACTCTCGCTCCGTCTGGCCATCGAGGGCTGGTGGTAGACGAGGGGCGGTGGAGTGATACCTCGCTTAATGTAGCCTGAGGGGGGGACTGTTATGGGCAGGATTATGAGCAACTGCCATCCATCCGTCTACCTCTCTCACATACACACACACGCATTTGCTTTCACCGTCCTGGAAAACAACTCCCTCAGCCCCACGTTCACAACATGGCTGCCATGTTTTCATGGAAGACCTGACCCAGTGGAGCAGTAGTGGCTGCACGACTTAGCGCGCACAAAGCGGTGTAATCGTTACTGCCGTTTGGAGGATGGTGGCCGATATTGCGAGGGTGTGTTTAGCAATTCCACGAGGACGGAAGGAGCTTGACAGACACATTCAGTCACCACCCCACGATAATTGGATTAGCGAGCACTTAAAACAGAGTAGCAGTGGGAATTTAGCCTCTTATACTCCAGTGGCCTTTGGTATTATAAATGGCAGAATTGCGTAGTTTTTTGCATTTCCCATCAGCAGTGTTGCATCAGGTCCATTCTGACACCCAACTAGAAGAATATTACGTCAGTTTGAGTTATAGACGGAATAGAGTAGTCGCCTTCTGCGTCTTTGTGTGTCTCTGACTGATGTGTGTGTGTGTGTGTGTGTGTGTTGAAGTAGCACTAAAATAATCTGACCGGGGAATATGGATGAAGTGTCTTTTATTACATTGGGTTGCAGCTGGCACAGAGCTTAGTGCAGTAAAATGCAGTCCTGGTCATGCACTCAGTATAAAACAAGCTTTTCACCCACTTCCAGGTGTTTCTGTTTGTACTTTTTGCTCATTGCATATAAGTAAGTATATCCTTCAGCATGATCGTCACGTTTCTTTTCACTCTGCGGTGATAATTAGCATTTGGAGTGCTGTGTGGTAAAAGGATGCACAAAGCACAGTATTATCTCATTATGTTATGTAGCTATGCTCCTTATCAGCACACTGGAGTCATTTACAGAAGACATGCAGCTCTAATGCAACACCCCCTCCCTCCCTTCCTTCCTTTTCCTGCCCCCTGATGTATTTTGCAGTGCCGTACCTGCACACAGTATAGAACTTTCTGCCGACACGCAATAAATCGCGCTCTCACCATCGCATCCGACCACTCTTAATGTATGATACTTATTTCCCACAGCTCTGACTCCCAGTGTGCTTAATGCTACTGTGCTGCAGGGTGTGGAAAGAACTACTGCACTGGCTGTCATCTGATCAGCAGTTATATCTGACTGCACACTGATCATCAGTAAAGCAGGGTTCCTGGAGAAAAACAGGAAAACTGTTGACCAGTTTTGCACTCATGGAAAACGCGAGGAAAATTAGAGATGAAGTCAAATGATCTGGAAAAGCCTGTGTTGTCCTGGAAAATTCTTTCAACATTCTCCTTTTTTTCCGTTCAGGGCTTAACGGCTAAGTTCTGTTTCAGGGTCATGTTGGCGTTCAAATGGTAGTTTAAGGACGAGAGTATTTTGAATCGTCATCCTTCAGATGTAAATATTAGCCACTGCTGGCTGGTAGCTGTGGTAGTTTTTCTCATTATATTATTCTTCTATTGCGATGAATTTGTCCTAATTTCTAAGCACGTAACAGATGATTTCACGGATACGTTTTAGGCTGCACTTCTTTTACATTCGACTTCCACGTAAATCCCTGACTGTCGTACCAACTAGATCGTCACTGAAAAGGTCCTGAGAAATGATCTCTAGAAAAGAGCGGGAACCCCGTTAAGGAAGCAAAAGAAATACGAAGTGTAAATCCGATTACACAGTTTCTCTGAGGCTTTCTGTAACAGCTCCAAATGTGGTATTTCTCTCATCCTGAGGCGCTTTCTGTTAAGATGTGACTACCTTTAGCAGCCTGTAATTCACACACAGTCATCTGTGGAGTTGAGGTTGGAGTTCCCCATTCAAAGGGTCGAATTACTACTAGAACTGGGTTCAATTATTTTTTCATGGAGATTGATTGATCTTGCGCGGCGCTATGGAACCAATTAGATTCTCCCAAAAGTGCGAACCTTCTCCAACCTCCCCTCCAGACTATCCGAGGAATACACTCGATGTAATTTAAAGGATTTCAATTAGTAATCGACCCCGGTGTGGTGGTTTCCCGTATTTCTGACATCATGATGCGCTGATGTTGTTGTCTGCTTCCTTTTTTTAAAATTTGTATCTTTACATTGAGCTACACACTGCTGCCAGTTCCCATTCCTGTCCTCACTGTCTTTCTCTATCCCCTCTCTCATTACTCTGTTTCACTCTCTCTCTCTCTCTCTCTCTTTCTGTCTCTCTCTCTGTCTTCTGCTCGCTGTTCGTCGCAGCTTCCGCTAATAACACCCATGCCTGGCAATCCCAGTCACGTAAGTTACTTTAATTTTCATTTGTTGCATCAGGCGGCACGTTCTGCTCGCAGTCAAAGCTGCACACACACACACACACACACACACACACACACACACACACACACAC